TGGCATCCACGGCGGCGTGGCGGCGTGTCTGCACGTGGCACTCCCCTTCTCGCTCGAGGGCCGGTCCTCCGCTAGTCCAGCGCCGCCGCCGCCGCCGCCGCCGCCGACTGCTGTCGTCGAGGCGCTAATGAGTAGATAGAAAAGGCGAAGAACAGCCAGCGGCTCGGACTGGGCACCGGCGCAGTATGGGAGGACGCGAGACAGAAGACGACGGCACGCTGGAGCGACACACAGACACACACACACTCTCTCACAAGAGGCGCCGCTGACGCACAGCAGTTCATGATTCATTCCTTGACTCCTCTGAGCTGACCCTTGCCTTGTGAACCGTCAAGGCGCTGCTTCTGCTCAGCTCGCGCTGCCTCGCCGCCGCACTCGCCTCCGCCGCACCCGCCGCGGCCGCGTCCGCCTCCGCCGCCAGCTTTGCCCGCGAACTGCTCGGCTGTCCCGCCCTCCTCGCCCGCCTGCCCGCCGCGTGCGTCGCCGCCGCCTTTGGCGAGCCATCCTGCACCCTAGTCGCCGCCGTATCGCGCTGAGAGTAGAGCCTTTCTTCACTCAAAGGCACAGCTTCGGGCCCGAAGGCGCACGACCTCGCCTGTCGTCACCCCACCCCACCACCACTGCCTGCTCCAGGCGCGAGCTTTGTGCCGCTCGCCGCCGCGCTGACCGCGCCGCTGCCAGCCGACTTGCCCGCCGACGGCGGCGCCGCCTCGCACTCCGGACGCCACACAGCAAACCCCTCACGTCATGCGCCTCACTGTTTGGTTCCTTAGGCGCCGCCTCGCACTCCGACGCCACAAAGCGGTTTGCGGCCGGGAGCGCCGCGCACGCCCTCGCCACGGCGACACCATGGGAGGCGCGCGCCGCCGCCGCTAACCTCTGCACGTCGCCGACGCGCCGCCGCCGCCGCCGGCTCGCCGCTCCCTCCGTCGCCCCTCCCTCCGCCGCCGTTCCCTCCGCCGCCGCTCCCTCCGCCGCCGCCGCCGCCTCGGCGCCGCTGTCGCTCTCGCCGCCGCTGGCCGCGTGCGTTTGCGCCAACCTTGTCGCGCTGGCGGAGGCGTCGGGCGTGCTCCAGCGCGCCGTCGCCGCGAGCGGGCAGGGCGCGGGCGGGGAGGGGGAGGAGGAGGGGCCTAGAAGCGGGAGTCGCACTCGCGTGTGCCAACCAGCGCGCAGACGACACGTAGTCCCAGCATGTGCCCAGCTGTCGTCCGCTGTCCTCCGCCGCATGTGCTCTCGTATTCACAGCTCTTCTATTCACAGCTCTTCTATTCACAGCTCTTCTATTCACAGCTCTTCTATTCACAGCTCTTCTATTCACAGGTGTGCCAGCACCGCATGTGTTCTCGTATTCCGACCAGCGCTCAGAAGACCGTAGCCAAGACCGTAGTCCCGCCGTAGCCGCTGTACGCATAGTCGCGTCGCACGCCCGCCAGTGGTCGGAGTACACCGCGCAAGTACCGTCTTCCCGCCCCGACCTCGGCGTGCTCCATTGCGTAGGGGGGGGGGGAGGGCGTGTGCAGCTACGCCCGCGTCCTGCACGACCTGCTGCCCGCGTCGGCGGCCGCGCTCGACGCGCCGCGGAGCCGGAGCCGGAGCTGGAGGGGGGGGAGGGCTGCCGCGGGGG